AGTGCTGCAGTTTGACATCCATTATTTGTACAGTTAACATTAAGTTACCTCCATTTGTTAGAAGGTATGATGAATTGCATCCCCGTTTTCTTGTTGTTTTTTTCTTCTCATACTGTGTCATAATTTGGAAAATTGAGTCCAAGACTTTTCTAAGCGTTGCTATTTTTCTAGTAAACAAGCAGACTTAAAAGTATATAGATATTGATGAAGAAATATCAGTTTGTTTCTTTTCTAAAGCTTTCTCTTTTTATCTTAATGAGTTTCAAATGAAACAAAAAATAAGAAGTACATACACAGATATTTACTTTAAAACATATATATCAGTCACAAATATTAACAAGATCATTGAAGAAATGTGTACAAACATAAGAATAACATCATGCCCACTAACTTGAACCGAGAAGTTATTGACACCTGTATTACAAAATATGGAAGTAACACATTTTTACTAAGTACAAGGAAACAGTTACAAAATAATATTATTTAAAGACAAGAATGACAAAGAAAAAGAAATTAAAAAAAAATAAATAACAAAATTGTCTTAAATATCTAGAAAAATACTTAATAATATTAAAGTATTCCCCCGTCAGACAAATTTAAAACCTGTGCAAAATAATGTTTTATGATGCATTAGCAATATCATTTTTAATAATGATCTCAAACATAACCATATTAATCATCTAATTATCATCTCTAAGGTAACTATATTAATAAATTCCCATATGGCAAACAATGTGATAGAAATTATTATGCAAACATATGTGGATGTTTATAAATTCTATGATTAAATGTTGAATTTTGCTTAACCGGTGCTGGTGGGGTGCGGACGGTAATTTTCACTTTCTAGTATCGTCCATAAACAAGGCTCAATCAAACCGTGCCAGCAGCATTTTCAATTTTGCCAGTTTGAGCGTAATTCAGAGATTCTGTTTTTTCTCTATTTTACATTTTCAGGAGCATATTTTGAAAGAGCTAGGTTCACTAACCATGGATTTTTGCCCAAGATTTGAGCAAAAAATAATTTGATGCAAAGTTCTTGTCTTTAGGTTTTATTTATAAGTTCAATCCATCCTTAAACTGTTAAAAACATATGAATTTATATACATATGTTTACATTTAGTATGATTTATGTTCAGAAAATTCACGTATTTTTGGTGTTTTAAACGAAAATTAAAGTATCAGCACAGCCCAGCCCCAACAAAATCATTACACCATTGTGTTGCAATGTATCAAAATCTTCAACTATATCAATATAAAGTTGGGGCTTTCCTGTGCTATATTCCAAAATTTGATTTTTATCTAATATCGAAACGTCATTTTCTGACATTTATTTCATCTGACATTTATTTCATTAAATGCAAACCATGGAGAATGTATATTGCAGTCAACATTATTAATTTTTGTTCTAAGTTGTGGAAAATTTAAAAATATGATTCATAACATACATTTTAATACATGTTAGCAGGAAAATCATTTCTAGTAAATTAAAGGCACCTTCAGTAAAATAAGTACGATTAAGTTTTGGTACGAGTTCGACGGTTGTAAACAAAACTCTGGCAGGTTAAAAGAATTATATGTAAACGTTTATAAATAAATGCTGAAATTCTGTTTATGCCTTTAATATTTCATTCTTAGGATTAGCAAGGTGTTGTTATGTAATTTTATTGATTCATTGAAAGAAGTTATGCTGTTCAGGCTATTTAATTGCTGAATACTTGATCTGGATCCGGTTCTTTCGCTCTCACAAAAAAAACCCAACTGTGGTTGTTTAAACACAGTGATTAAGAGGTTTTCATTCATGTCTTCTTATAAAGTAGATTAGAAGAATGTAATTTACTTTGTGAAAATAAAATTATTGCAAGTCTCAAAACAATAAAGATACTGTATGTAGAATAGTTAAACTCTATAATTCCACATCGCCTGCATTGATTTATATGTAAAACTACGTGTTAAATGATGTCGTGACAACTCGGTATGTTGCATTAACTCAGTGGTAGCATGGAAGCCTCTTACCCAGGAGATTTGAGTTCAAATCTTGATTATGAACCCTTTTTTCTTATTTTCATTTTTTTTCATTTTCGTTTTCATAATTAATAAAATAGATTTTTCAGTAAATAATATGTTATTTCATTAATGTATTTATTCCTTCAGATTTTAGCATTTTAAGTCAGTGCTATTTCATAGTTATTAAGGTATTAAAGATTTGTTAGACATTTTATTGCTTAAAAGTTCAGCAAGAAGTTTTAAATCTTATTAATTTAGTATTATTCTCAATAAAAAATATTCACAAGAAATTGCCAAAGCAGGAAATATGTTAGGAGTCAACGGACGAAATGTCTTAAGTGGACTTTCCCAGGATGAGAAAGAAGCATGGTATTAAGCTCTAGCTGTTTCCCTGTGAGAGTAACTAGACAGAAAGCCTTGACTTGTCCTTTTCCACAAAGGATCCTTTTATATTGTGCATGAAATTGCAGAGGATACATATAAGCAGCCATAACTACATGGATTTGATTATCTACATGAATGAAAGCATTGATGCGTATTACTTTTTGTGACTGGTGCACAAGTAGTTTGAATGTATTCTGATGTCTCCACTGTTACATGGTACCTCGCATATGGACACCATGAGGAGTAGAGAGACTCAGTCAAGAGTGAGACATTTGGCTGGTAATCTTGCTGATCATGTAGCGGTATTTTGAAATTGATAGCCATTCAATACAGTGTGAGAAAGAGAATTGATAAAAGTAACAGTAATAGAGACAATGCTAAACTAAATTTTTAATTGTAGGTTTCCTTATGTTAAATGTTTAATTTGCAATCATTATGTAGATGTAAGGGCATATTGGAATCATATAAACCAAATCTTACTTAGGGTTGTTTTATGTCACATAAATTATATATACATGTAAATAAATGTTTTTATGCCCCCGAAGGGTGGCATATTAAAATCGAACCGTCCGTCTGTCTGTCAGTCTGTCATTCCGCCAGTCATTCAGGCTTTATACATATGGACAGTGGTGGTCGTGTCCGCTCTGAAACTTCAGTATGCATGAAAGGATTTTAATTTTTCTTTCATATATGAAATAACCATAGATGTATGGTGTGTCGCGAACAAGACTTGTTCCTATGACTTAGGTCAAGGTCACGGTGGGGATTCAAACTTTGTCAATTTTGATATTAATATACATATAGACAGAGATGATCGTGTCTGCTCTGAAACTAATATGCATGAAAGGATTATATCTTTATTTCACATGTGAAATAATCATAAATGTATTATGTGTTGCCCTTAAAACCCGTGTTCCTACGCCTTAGTTTAATGTCACTGCTGGGGTTGAAACTTTTTCAATATTTATGTTATACCGGTATCGGACATATAAATGGTGTTTGTTGTGTCCGCTCTGTCACTTCCATATTCATGACAGTTTCAATTTTTATTTAAAAATATAAAGTCACCATAAATGGACAATGTGTTGTGAACAAGACCTAGTTTTCTTTGTATAACTTATAGTTCACTGCTGGGGTTCGAACTTTGTCAATTTTTACCACCACACTTAACATGTAATAGGTGGTTTATAACTAGAATCCTTCGGGGGTATTTGTCACGTTCTGTGACAGCTCTTGTTTTTCTCAGTTCTCATATCGTCATGGATCATTACATTACAATTTTAATAAAAGTCTGATTACCATGATTATAAATAACACAAATCGTTTTCTTGATTTGGCTGTATCATAATACATAAAAGAAAATAGTATCGTATTTGCAGTTCAGTATCAAATATTACGTATACTCCGAAAGAACATACAGTCAAACATAAATTTCTGACAAAAAAATTCTAACGTACTTTTATATCTATAAATTTACTTAATTTAGGCAGATGTTCAAACCGCCTCCGTGGTGGAGGGGTTAGAGTAGATGACTTCTAATCTAGTTACCTCTCTGGCGTGGGTTCGATCCCCGGGTGATGCTTTAGTAGTTTAGCACGGAGGAAGGTAGTCTAGTACTGGTGTTACTCTCCAGGAACGATGGTTAGGAAACTCCGGCCTATATGACTGAAATACTGTTGGAAAAGGCGTAAAATGAAACAAACAAATCAAGCAGATGTTCAACGTCCTTGTCAGAAAGACTTACTTAAAAGGCCGTTAAAATTGCAATTGATTCTAAACACCCTCATTTTAAGATGTAAGAAGTAGATGAATAAAACAAGCAAATTCGAAATTTATTATTAAAAAAATGAACAAACTAACAGTTTTTATAAAAATAAATACATTTAGTTAGGCGAAAAGTAATATGCATGCACATTTTTATTTCTAAATATCCGAATTTGAAATATCCGAAACGAGCCCCATTTATCTTTTATATTAGTTTTGTGACACAATAGTCTATTTAAACTAAACTATAATTGTGTTTACAATATATTAGAAATATATTGCTTTCTTTATGAGTTTAGTTCAGTCAAACACACAAATTTGTTAATCTTGTATGAAAATTGTCGTCAAATTTGTGATTTAATTGAATTAAACAGGTGCTCTAATTATGGCGCCATTATGTCGTCATAGTAACCAAATATGTCTTATTAATGTCTATTTTGAAAATGTAACAGATTATACGATACACCTTTAGGTTTTTATCAATATCTAAGATGGGGCAATTTTTGGTGCTTAGTGAACCTTGCTCTTTTGTTTGGTCGTTTATAGACGTGCTGCTTTAACTTAGGCAAACCTTGAATTGTCCTCCGTCGACAAATCATTACATAATTTGGAAAAAAATAATTTTATTTCACATTCTTGTTTTATTACGAGTTCAAGGATATAACAAGAAATGAAGATTCATTGTTTATTGTTCCATCCTAAGAAATCATAATAACATTACTATTTTAATTCCTTATTCAAACACGCAGTTTACATCTATAATTTAATGTTTCTAATTTTTTAACACTTATTGTGCATATAATTAACATTAACGTAGTGTTGATAGCTGTTACGTCTGTACAGTCGAGTTTATAAGCATTGACACTTAAGGGATATTGCCATTTGGATAGCACACACCCTGGCGGTCTAGTAAAAGGATACAAGAAGAAAATGAAGCCGTATTTCATAAAAATTTGTTTTGTTATTCTCTTATTATCAAGTTTTGCATCTACTTTGGTTTCGTCGGCAATTTGGCAAAGGATTGATCCAAAACATCCGAAGGCCGTTACATCAAAATAACTTATTGCACAAGCACTTGGTAGACGTCCTATAAAATGTATTCTTGCCCTTGAAAGGGTTGACGTGAGTGTATTTTATTTCTTTTAAATACAGACAACTGTGTAGAATACACATGTACATGTATTGGAAATAATTAAAAGATAGTATTCATAGATTGAAATATAATAAATAGTCTTAACTAAAACTTATCTATGCGTGTTTGTTTATAATTTGTAAAACATACTTTTTGTTCAGGCCCATTATGCCTCAGGAATGCTTTTATTTTTATTTCTAAGAAGTTTTTTCATTTTGATATTACTGTACTTTTATAATTTCCAAAAAGTTACTCATCTTTTTCATCTGTTGTTTTTGTATTGTTGCAATAAGTACAATTATAGGAAATAGGTATTTTGTATGGAAGTCAAAATACCGGTACTACTTCGTTTACATTTTGCTACTTTTTTATTTGTTTCGGAGACATAACGTGCCTTTAAAAGAAAAAGTAATGATACTGTGCTCCTCTTCGTTCACAGTACTTAATGCTTTGAAAACAAGACAATGAAATGTAAAAAGTTGCCCCGTACTTCACTTCAGGACCATTGAAGCCAGTACTAAGAAGTGTTGAGAATTGAGTACGACTAAAGCGGGTGCTAGGGGGCGTAAGGGATGTTGCACTTATCATTTTCCCTCATGTACAGACTCAATCAAACCGAGTCTGCAATGTCCATGTTATATTGTTGTGATTTATGCTCCCGAGGGATCACTTTGTTTCCAGATTAATTTTTAAAGCTGTGACATGTAGGTATTTTCTACTGTATGATAAAAGGAAACATATTCAATCAAATCAGATTTAATGAGTAAGACCTAGGCCAAAGCTCAAACATATTGAAAACAGTATGTCACTATTTAAATCGTGGTAAATGGTGTCGCACGTTTTTCATGTTTAAGTTAAAATTACTAAATGTTATATTGTTCAGTTTTGAATATAATTACAACTATGTTTTCTTTGTTTTTCAAATTTATTATTTTCAAAAACAGGAACATTTAGAAAAGGGGATTGTTTTAGATGTATCTATACAATTGAACGGACTTCGGGGACCTTTTACAGACATTAGTAAAATGTTGTTCTGTTTTCAGAAAAAAAATCTACAGATATAAATTATTTTACAAAATCTTTACTGTTTACGTATATGACTAAAATATCTCAATTTTGATGTATGTTACGATTTACTGGTCACATGTACATATGCCATTGCCGTGAAATAAGGGATAACGCAAAATTAGTGATATTTAGAATCATTGTTTTCTTAAAATAAAGAAATCATATAGTTATGATCGTTGTACACAGGCAAAGCTTTGGTTAGTGTTATTATTCTTTAAATTTCGATAGCCATAGAGAGGGATTGTTTTTATGTTCATTAATATCAAATTAATAAAAAACATATTTTCTGAGCATGTTAGTTTTCCAAGAAACAAAAAGGCAATGGTTTGCCTTAAGTGCGCCAAGCGCGTTGAAAAATAAACAGAAAGAGTAAAAACTATTCATAAAGCTATTCTTGTAACAAAACTCATTAACTTGAAAAATAAATATTTGCTTCAAAAACTACAAAATTCTTAAAATACCGTTGCTTAAAGAAATAAGGAGAAAAGAATGATACTGTTTTATTTAATTATAAATGTAGAATTGTGGTAAAGAAAAGATGTATTTGCATTGTAGACTATCAATAATAACGAAAATGTACCTTGATGTTGTTTTTGATGGTGTTTTTCAGCCAGCCACTAATACAGAGGAATTTCGAATTAGATTCGAAGCTGTTCGGATTGTTAACCCAAGTATAGTGGTATGATTTGTTGTATTTATTTAGCACTCATTCATTTATTTCAGTGATACAGATCATTTAAGAATCATAAATAAATATCAGAATTTAAAATGCTTCATTAAGCACTGTTCTATACATTACATTAAGATACTCTGCCAACGTATATGTCTCAAAAATATTTCATGCATTGACACGTTCCTAGTCGTCAAAAATAATAGTTCTAAAAATATATTTTCCGTAGATTAGTTGAAACTTAATTAGTCTTCTTTTTACCGTTTATAAATTAGATGTCATTTACCTTTTGCTTATACGTCTTTATTTTCTTTTTATGACCTTTTGAATTTTTTATTGACAGGAAATATGCCAAGGTGATGTAATATGGTATAATTGGGGCGAAAAGAAAGTTCATACTCATGGCTGTTGGCCTAAATAAACAGGACTGTCTAAAACTACATCATCATAAACAGTATGCCGTTTTTTTACAAATCAGTATCTTCAGCAAACACATACAAATTTGAGTTTGACAAGTAGATGCGCAAAAGTTTATGCAAAAACTAAAAAATAAAATAAATAAATAGATGCTCACAACAGAAATTGTCTTTTTTATGTTTTTGTTGTTGTTTTTTTATTATTTATTTATTTATTAATTTATTTCATTTTATTGTATTTCTTCATTTCTTGTGTTGGCTTGATTTAAAAGTGGATGAACATTTTAACTGATTGACACTTCCAACTTAAAACGTTCAGTACTTACGGAATTCGGTGTTTCTATTAAAGTTATGAACGATGAGGCACCCGAGGGCTTTCGAAGCTTGAACATCGCTTCCCGACATTGACAGTGTTGGTTTGACTTAAAACCAATTTACCAGAAAATAAAACACACACAAAATGTACTATTTAGTATTGTACTAGAGAACTGTTAATACACTTTTGTCAGGACAGGTCAACAGGACATAATTTAGTCTAACAATTTTTTTTATAATTGATTAGCTTTCTATTGACATCGGAAAGAAAGGTGATGATCCTTTAACAAACCACTAATGTGTTGTTTCGAACATAAACATAAAACAATATTGTTTTAACACCGCATAGCTAGACTTGTTTAGTATTACATTATGCTCAAGCGGTCATATAAAATACCTTTACTGATATATTAAGTTTAAAAGTAAAACCTTAAAAAGCATTGCGCTGACACAAGGTAGGGTAGGATAATATTTCCCCCTTTTCTAGCTGTGGTATCTTAAACTTTCTGGACAGAAAAGTGCTTATGCATCAATTAAATAGATGCATTTTCTTCAGCAAAAACATCTTTGCTGTCACTTAAATCTTAAACATGTTTACAACCGCCCATTCTTTACAAGCATTTGTATTGGTTAACTCGTTAATGAATCCTGACAGCTGTCAGACATTCTATTAAGGAACTTATAATTAATATCTTTAAAACCCTATACAGACATCTTTACTATTCTGTACGCGCTAGGTTTGTAGACAAAATAAACTCGTTGAATACAAAATAAAATTTTACCATTGTATGAACATTCATTGTGTGAATAATTCTGTTCTGAATATAAAATTTAATCTTTTTTTGTACATGTATTTAAATATTAACATTCCTCTTTACCTTCAATTTAACATTGTGCGTATGTTAAAGATACGATATTATTACAATGAACCTTTTTAATGTAAATAAGTGTCTTTTGAAAATGACAATGGTCCTTAATAGACGGCCTGCAATAATATCATTGTTAATTATCATGGTTGCATTATTACCTAAGTATCTTACTCGACAATAGGCCACAAAAGAAATATACTTTATAAATGTTATTAATGTTATTAGTATATGTGAGATATATGATCCGATATTACATTTGTAAATATAGCAGATTATTTATTGTTTTAGAACAAGATATGATTGTTCATCATATAAAAATGTTCCCACTACATTACTCAGACCTGTATCAACATTGTTTTTCAAAGGCCTATATCTCAAACTGTTATATGTTATTTTGGTTTTGGAGTGATATATGTGTATATATTACCTGTTAAGATTTTATATCACCCGAGCCGTTAGGCGAGGGTGATATTTTATCTTGGCAGGTAATATATCCACATATATCAATCCAAAACCAAAATAATAATTTTATTACCCTTCCCCTGCCGAGTTTAGACGATTTTTTAAAAAATCATTGCTGTTTCAAATGAAACGTCAAAATAAGATTCCCTTTAGGATACCTCTTCGTCACAACATGACGTCACATAAATACATGACGTATTTTTCCCGTACCTTACGAAAGGAAACAAGAGAAAAGGAGTGGTCTGTTGAACGCACTTTTTTGTAATTAATATCAAGCTTTCACAAGGTCATATTTGTTTTCTATACTGATGGTTATATGTATCATTACTCTACTTTGGTAAATATTTGTCATTTGACAGTTAAAAGGTGCTTTTAAATCGGAATTTACACCGCGTAAAATCGAACCGTACGCGCATCACCTCAGCGCATATTGTTTACAACGTTGGGTACCAAACGGAGAAATTAAGTGTGTATATTACCCGTCTGGCTCGGTTATATCAATTTCTTTCGGGTGATCAATATCCAATCAAAAAGGCGGAAAAAATCTAGAAGGGTAATAAACATTTCTATTTCCTTCCCTAAATATTTGTAAAATTGCCCCAATGTATGCCAATCAAATACATGTATAAAATGATATCAGAAGTAAACAAGTGCCACTCAATTGGCTGTATTCTATATACATTCCTGTTAATAACATTTGAATCCAATTGTTACTGGTTTGATAGTATCCATGGGAATACATTTGAGTGAATGTAATTAAAGAAGCAACTTTTTAGCGCTCATATTAAGAATGTACATTTTTTTGTAAAGAAACATATAGGAGACATTGTTTTCATTTTAAATATGACGATGAAACGCAAGTAGGAAAATTGATGGAACCACATTGGTCTAATAGTGTTACATCTTCGATCCTGTCTAAATATCCTAATAAGAAATGGCTTTCCTCAATAAACCAGAACGGTAAATACTATGGCGTACATGCCAGACAATATCATAGCCTGATGACAGCTTGTCAAAATTGTCCCAAGGCTTTCCCTTTACTTTATTTAATTCTGTCTGAGACATTTATATTATTTATGCCGCTATAATTAAGTACCATATTTGTTTAATATTTTGGTTTACAGAACAGAGCGTATGCAATTTGACCTTCACCATCAATATATTTAGATATTTATCAATGTGCCAAGAATATATAGTCATGGAACTATAATGTTTATTATAATAAATTATTTTAAAACAATAAAGAAAGGTAGACTGGCAAATATTTTGTTTGCTTAAAATGTACCTCTCTTTGACATTTTCAAATTAAAAGTTTACATAAAAACTGAACAATCATTTTGGTTTTGAGTCATACAATACAGTAATTAAGAAAATTATTTTCTTTCTATCAACAAATCACACGCATGTCGTTGACAGTAGCTAGCATTTAACACTACCGTTTAGGGACATGCTTAAGGCCGTGTAAGGCGAACTTAAAATTGTACCATTTTAAGGATGTTATCACACCGGTGGTAAAACTTGAGATATGTTAACTTAAATAAAAATCCCTAAAGAAAGTCCAAAAAGGCAAAATGTTGCAGTTCGGTTTGATTGAGCGTCTGTTTATGGACGGTACTGTCAAGTGCAAACTACCGTTCTCACCCCCTAGCACTGGCTTTAAAGTAGAATGAAACAGGGAATGGAAAATGTTTAAGTTAGAAACATCCGTAGATGTGTTCATACGGCGGTTATCATAGAACAATCAATGTGACACTTCCGTGCTATTCCATGAAAAGCGGCGTATGTCCCCAAGTAGTAGAAAACGTGTGCCCTAAACGAGAAAGCCATGGGCGAAACTAAACAAAAGGGAACTTTGAAAGGGGATCAGAGGTGATGAAGCTTGCATACCACAGATAAGAAATTAAAAAACAGGCAATATATTCTAAGGGTGATTCAGACAGATATACATGAAATTGACATATTTGCGAGGTGAAACAAATGATACAATGTTGTTTACCGTTCTTCTTATAGTCTTACATAAGAATTTAAAATTAAAGAATAAAAGTCAATGGCTTTACAATCTTTTGAAGTTGTTTTTTTTGCCTGACATGTCCATATTCTATTGTATCTACTCACATAAGTAAATAAACTGTTTGATATCTCAAAAGAAAGCCGAAACTATTCCTTTTTTTATTAAAGTACTTGACCATTTAAAACATTATATGTTTTGTATCAGAAAATGCACACCCAACTTCGACTGGATATGTTCTTGCAAAACTTATACATAGGATATATGAGGAACATGCAAATTACTTCATCCAGTAATCTTGATTAGGAAATGTTTTCATCAGTTGATTTATCAAAACACAACGTGAAAAGAATAAAAACAATTTTTCTTCGAATTCCGAAAAATGATGATTTCCATATATGATTTTGACATGTAATCATTTTCCTATTTTAACACAAATTTAAAGTTTGTTTTGTTTGTTTTTGGGTTTTACGTCACATCGACATAGTATAGGTCATATGGCGACGTTCCAGCTTTTCTGGTGGAGGAAGACCTCGGGTGCCCTACCGTGCATCAATTTAGGCACGCACGGGCACCTGACTAGAACCACCGACGTTCCAAAAGCTAACTGGATAGCTTCCTCACATGAACGAATCCAATGTCCCTGTCGGGATTCGAACCCACAGCGGTGAGGGGCAAGTGGTTTGAAGTCAACGACCTTAACCAATAGGCCACGAACCACCCTCAAATCTAAAGTAATATCTAAATAAGAATATAGCATTTCTGTTTGTCGTTTATATGTAAAATGATAAAATAAGATGGACTATCCAATAATAAACAAGAAATGTCGATGTTTGCAAGTGTCAAATAAAGTTTCTGCCACAAAACTATCAATGCATTAAACTGTTTGATATTTTTTCGTCCTGTGCGATATTAAACATATTGTGTACAAAACAAAAAAGAAACCTTGTTATTGTTCTTTCTTTTTTAAAATACTTTTTGTTTATTTATTCATTGTACATTCACGTATGACAACATGTCAACTTTAATGGCATCGATAGCCCACATTAAAGCGTACCTTTTATCGTAGAGATACTTTATACTCATAATCAATTAACACATTTTCTGCACATTCAAGTAATTGGCCAGTTTTATAGCTTATTCTTAAACCATTTTTAGATAACGCTTTTTTTATAGCATTAAGGAAAATATAGAATGAAAACAAAACATTTTTTTCTACGATTGATCTAAGTTATTGGATTACAAATGTCATGGAGCAAAAAAAATTGAAAAATTGACATGTCTAACTTATTGTATAGAAATAGTTTCTGGTAAATGTGCTATTTAAAGGTCAAATGATCTGAAATATTCTATTGCTTTTTTTATTGAACATGTTTTGTATATGTTTGTATTTTTAAAAGTTACATAATTTTTGTTTTGTATGGATTTTTACATGGCACAAATCATTTTGAACTTTCTAAATTCGCCATATTAGATATTCTGAATAAAGCAAAAGTAATAAATAG